TATAATTGATTACATCCGCTTCATTTGAACTTTAGTGGAAAGTTGTATCATTGGCAATCATACCACATCTCTTTATTTTTATTAAAACAAAACAATTACACTATTCTACAAAACGTATAGCAATTTTTAACAAATTAGTCTCAACAGACAACGCAGCCTACTCGAACAAGAGATTTACTCTTAGGTAACTCAATACGATCGTAGATAAGCGGACTGAGTCGATAAACCAAAAGTTTCCGTAAACAGTACATGTTCGAGTAAGCAATGGTATGTAAGATATTTAACTAAGAAAACTATTGAGTATTGTCAAGTTTTCTGACTTTGGGTGGGTATAAACATGTTACGATAAACTAGATTTGTGAGTACTAACTTCCCTCTTTTAATTTCGATCGGTGGAATAACTAAAGGTACACAGAAAAGTGTACAATAAGAGTTTAGAATAAATGCTTCCGAAAACTGAGTTTTACTGTGCGTATTGCTGTGTTTGTTTATTCCACATTGGCTAGAGGTATAGGGAGAAGGTTGAGATATCAAACCCCACCGCAATTTTGTTAACCTTGCCTGTTACGCTTACATTATCGCTTTTCTCTGTCACGTGAAATCTCGTTCGTAGATTAGCAAGATGTGTCCATAAGCTATTTCACAAAAGCTTTTTTTTATATTTCCTCAGATAGAATTTTCTTATACTTTGCCAAAATGAAGATTTTACTATGCTTTTTTTCAAAAATATAATAAAAAGCATGGTTCACCGTGCTATTTTTTATGCTACAAGTCGTGCAAAATTGCCCAAATTTGCATAGATTGTTCATGAAAAGAAATCTATGAGATAGAATTTTGAAATAAAATATGAGAAGATAGGTTTTATAATATGCTTTAAGAAAATATAAATAAAAAATGGTGTCACCGAACTTGTTTTCTTGCTACAATTAAAAAATAAAATTTCACTATAATTCCATTATAAAATTTTTACTATAAGAGTTATCTCCCATTAAATGGCTAAATTGAAAAAAAATTATTCTAAAAAATAAAAATATTTGGTATTTATTTAAATATTTTGGATAATGCAATAAATCATATTTTTTTTCTTTATAAAAATAACAGTCATACAAATAAATTGCAAATCTGTCTCAAAATTTGCAGATTTAGGCAAAGAACTAGACCGATTGTGTACTGCTATTGTACAATCCAAGATGACGATATACAGTGAAGCTACCTAAAGAAGAAAAAAGAACAAATGTGTGTTTCGTTACCATATCAAAAACCACTGGTTGATGTGCACTTAGTCCAGTCAACTGTTTCGTCAATCTTGTAGAAAAGGCAACCCTTGTCGACGTACTGCTTGATGACAGTAATCTTTTCCTATCTAAATTATAAAGAAACCTTCATAACTAGCATAATCTGTTAGTGAACAAATATATTTTAAATGATAACCAATTCCCATATTAAATCGATACATCTTGTATTAAGTTGCAAACATAATGTTGTAGTATTTCTTTCTCTATTGATTTAAATCATGTTCTTTCTATAATCTGAATTATAGAAGAAGAGAGAACAAGAAGATTAACAAACAGTTTGTATTATACCTTGACTATGCGTGCAGTTTTCAATACTGGAAAGTTGTTTGTTAAGATCATCATTCCTCTTTTCGGAAACTTCCAGTCGTTTAGTCAAGTTATCTATGAGTTTGTTTGATTTATCCAACTTCGTCGACAGCTCTTTCATTTGAGTTTTTAAAAACCCCACATCGAACTGAAGGCGTTCAATCACATCATCACAATAAGAAGCACTGATTGATAAAGTAACAAAAAAAAATCCCTGTCAACCAAACTCCGAACATTCTAAGATATACGAATTTCAAACTAATGATAAGACAATGCTTTGGACTGAGCATTTAAATCGGGTCCAAAGGTGACCTGAATTAAATTTATATCTTTGTGTAATGATAAACTTTGTTGATAAGAAGATTTAGTTTCAGATAACAATTAAAAAAAAAACATGGTTGATTTGTCAGTTTGAATTCGTGTAAATTAGATTTTTCCTGTCGAAAAAAAACCCACATAAATACCCAAAATAAATTTGCATTCCACTGTTTCTAACTTGTTTTATGGCAAAGTTCGAAGACGTATCTTAATATTTAATGCACATATACAAACATGTTGTCTAAAAGATGATACATTGTATGACTAATAAAAAAAGTAAATGAGCAATTGATATCGGCGAACGTTTAATAAAATTGATCATAGAATATTCACCATTACTAATTGAAAAGTATAATATCTTTCTTTTGATGTGTATTTATAACAGGAAAAGAAATTGAACATTCTGAAAGATTGAAAGATAAGCCAGGACCAGCCATTCGGTTGATTTGTTGCTGTGTATCATATTTATTTTTCGTTTGTTGTTTTGTACAGAAAACAGGACGTTTGTTTTCTCGTTTAAATTGATTTTAAAATGTTGAAATAACTATATTTTTGAGTCTGAGTGACCGTTTTTCCTTTTTTTCTTTCTTTTGTTAAGTAGCAAGAAAGGTTTACGGTGAAGCTCTCTTTCTGAAAACATTTTTTTAGCTACCTGTATCTGATACGTTGTAGAATATAAAAATAATAAGAAGAGTATGTTTCCAATGAGACAGTTATCCACCAGAGATGTAAGCAACTTCAGGTCAACGAACGGCCTTCAAAAAAGAGCAATACCCATAACACATAGCAAGCCATAAAAGGCACCGACTTTACAAAATGTAAAAATATTTAAACGAGAAAACCAACGACCAGGTTTATGTACAAAACAATAAAAAAAAAAAACAAATACAGTAACAAACAAATTACAGGCTCATAGGAAAAGTATATACAAAATGTGGCGGGGTTATACATTTCTGCAGTTGCCCAACATTTCCCAATAATCTGGGACAGTGATATGACAGGTCAACAAAAGAACAACTTATAAAAAATAATTTGAAAAGGGCTAGAACGAAGTAGAACCCTTTTCTGTACAAAATACTGTCCTTTAGTTTTCTAGTCACGTGATAATACCTTTTTTCGTGTGTTCTTACCGGCAAGAAAATACGGATATTGTGTTATTTAAATTTGCTGTTACAAAATGTTGGAAATTATTTTAATGTAAAGGAATATATCTCCCTCATGCAAAGCCCTGATTCCTTGCCCGACTTTGGCTATACTTATTGTCCTATTTGGTTTTATCAGCTCTTCAATTTTTGCATAAGTTTTGGATTTTCAAATGTTTTGGCCTTAAGCATCACTGAAAAGACATTAAATTGTCGAAATGCGCATCTGGTGCAGTAAAATTGGTACCGTTAATGTTATTATTCATACAAAATAAGAGCCTCGAAATAGTGCATATAATTAGTTTGTAGTAATATACGGTGACCTATGCTTTACATTGAAATTTCGCTGTGAGCAGACGAAATAACTTGCGGTTGACCAACTTAGAAGGCCTGCTACGAATGATTCAGGCATCAGAAATATGCTTGTTATGAACCATTATCTAGTTAGTTCAATGTATATTTACGACATAACAAGATTCAGTAGGATAGATATCCGGGGAACCATCATATAACGAAATTTTGCTACCGAGTGTCCGATTTCACAAAAATGCGAGTTGGGTACCTTGTGTTATATTCAGGTGTATCATGAGGTATTTTTTTAGAAACAAGGCAGGCCTGTAATGGTTAGATCTGTGACATAATATTTCTAATTTCTTATTCATTTGATGGAATGCCATTAAATTTATATCTTCTTTCAGAAAAATAACAATAAATTTTAAATTTGTCGTTTCATTTTTGTCATATTAGCATGTATTTTGTTACAGAAGCCAGTGTGCCGACACATGCAAAGGGATATGAAAAATTACGGCTGCCGTGGTCATAAATTACTGGTAATTTCAAATACAACACTTTAAATCACTTCATAAGTTGAAAATCTCGCTTTTTTGGTCAATTTTATTATCAAATGATATGTTTTTACCTATAATACTTACCAATAAAAAGTGTTTGACGATCGTTCAGTGATATTATTTCATAAGTAAGTAAGTAAGTAAGTAAGTAAGTAAATATTATTTAAAGTCGGCATATATATGTACATAATAACAGAGAAAACATGAGCTCTGACGAGCTCTTTAACGAACTATCATATGAAATTCATGCAGCTTCATGCAAATACTATAATGAATAAAAATAAAAAAGAATGCAAATATAATGAAAGCAAATCAATTTCCCAACATATCATTCGTAAATTTACACAGCCGTTGGCATCTTTCTATCCAAATCCACACAAATTTCGTAAAATCTCGAGGAGACATGGAATTTGGTTATATCATAAGGAATAAGCAACGAGATTAGATTCTAATCCCGTCAGTCTACTTATCCCAGTTTAGATTCATTCGATTCAAACGTATTTTCTCTCAAGTTACCAAAATCACCTGATATGTTGGGAGAATTTTTTTATTTAGAATAAATTTTTACAAAAAAAACTCTAAATTTTTTAATTTGAATTTGAAAAATCGATCGCGAGACAATGGAATGTCGATATTTTTCTTCCTGTGATCTTGAGGTATATATGCTCAGATTTGTCTCTAATGTAATATGATCTTTTCCAATTGCTTAATAAAGGCAAGGATCATTTGTATAGTGAAAAATACTATACAAATCCTTGATAAAAGCGTACATTTTAAGGTTTCAAAATTTGAAAATTATTTATTCATTTGTATATTTACATTTAATTTATATAAATATAAAAGCAATTCAATTCAATTTAATTAATTATTCATTTTATTTTTTTTGTTATATATCTATTCTGGGACATAATATATTGACGTTAGTATAATAGTCCCAGATATATTACATATATTATTTGATATATTGTACACCCTGGTGTTTTCTTATTTTTAACTATTTTATGGTAATAAGTTAGAGCTTCTCTCGACTCTCTTCTGGGTTTTTCCTTTGATTTCATGTTGTTTACATTGGAGATTTTGGTCTTATCAGTAAGGGGAAAGAACTCATTAATCTAATGCAAACATGGCGGCGATCCGGGGAAGATCTAGTTTTGTGTTTACAAAAAGGTTGGTTATGCAGATCGTATGAAGAAGAATGACTTGTTACTTTGCCATAATTTATTTTAGATCATGATCTTTCGATTTATCTATATGCCTATTATAATCACACGGTGCAAATATGTTAAATCTGACTGCAAAAAAGTTGTGCTATTGAAAAATGTTAAAATTGAAATCCCAAGATAATGGGGATTTCAACTTTTTCAATTTTCTGGCGTATAAAAGATATACTTTCATATTTTTTTAAGTTATAACTTAAAATATAATTGATATATTATTGTTACTTGATATTATATGTTGAAAAAGTAAGATCGGTAAACAAAATAACGAGTTTTCAGTTGCACATGTTGCATGTTGTTATTTTATTGATATGCTAATGAAACACAACGTCAATAATTGTTTACCACCCAGTACATGTCCAACTCTAGAAATAGTCCCTAATTCTGAAAAGGATGTTCAGAAGCAAAAGTGATTTGCAATTTACAACCATATGTAATGCAATAATTAGTGTTTAACATGCATGATGTACAAAACAATATACATGTTCAGCTTGGATGTTGAGTTATGCAGTGTGTCTGGTAGTTATCTGAAGGTATAATCCATAGCCAAGGTCAGCTGCCTTGGCTATCATATATGTGTCCATCTTCTTCTTCTTTCAGTTTCCGCACTCCATCATAATATTGATGACTATATGCCGTACGTCTGATCATCTATCCCACATTTATATGTACATGTAGGGCCTAGATGTCATTTAGTTGTGTCATATGGTTGCTGTCTCATCATACATTGATATATACCCTGGCTGTATTTTTTTTATTCACATTACCACAATAGAAAAGCTCATATATTACATGTATCATGTGTATATATATATAGCAAAATTGCAATTAATTATTTAATAGAAATACATATTGTACATTCCTCTTCTTAGACAGTCTGCACCAAAATCTTTTCCAACTACTACTAATATTCAGACATTTTCCTTGTGTGTCTAAAGTTAAACAAAGTTTTGCGAAAATTAACTAGTCCAAATAAAATTTTACTAGTCTGGGGAATTGGATTAGTGGCTAACAGTGCAGGCTGCTTCTACATTTACACAAACATGTATATATACAGTTTGTATATGTACAATGTACATGAACTGCCTCAGATGTCTTGTAGTAATGTCAGGTACAAAATGTAACTAAACTGTAGTGTGCAGGCATGAATCATGGGAAGTTATAAGTTGGATCTGGGGCCAAGTCAATCTATTGACTTGAAAAATGGTTTTGCTGCTTCTCTGCTAAGCACCCTCTGCTTTGTGGGGTAACTAGAGTAAATACTTGGTCAGCTGAGGACAATAATTAAACTGATGCAGATCCCAGAGTTGAAAACCCCCAAAGCTAGATAATGTTTGGAGTGAAACAAGTCTGTATCATATATATTAATTAACCATAAATGTAGCTCCATTGGGGGGGGGGGGGGGGGGGGGGGGGGGAGCAAATTCCATCTCTGTGAAATGTCTGATACCTTAAAGGGAAAATTCGCGATTTTTCACTTATCATCTTATTATGTTCATAATTATATTAATACCATAAAAAACATATTCACCAAGTTTTATTTGGATATGAAAACTAATAAAGAAGAAAATTGGGAATTATTAATTTTATCTATTCGAACTTCCTGACTTCTGTGACGTAGTTTAAGTCTTTTTGCATGCCGGGAGTTGAATTAATCTCATTTAAGTCTTGTTCGTTAACCATCTAATAACGCGATTTAAAGCGCATCGACGACTTTTGGTGTAGCTATTAACCAACTAAAAATAAAGAAAGTAAAGTGATAGCCGTGCAACTTTTAAAATTAAATTGTAGGATTTATGTTTTAAGGATTTTTTATACGAATTTTAGTAATAAAAGTAAATCATACAAAAGAAAATTTTTATGATTTTTTTTCCCGACAAATACCTTAAACAAACATATGAAACTGACATGATTGATAGTGTATTAAAAATACATGTTTGTATTCTGACCTTTTTGCTTCAGTCTTGCAAACATTTCCTGCTTGTACTGTGTAAATACTATGTGTATTGTTCTGTGACACTTAGTGAATGTTGAATGCGTGGTTAAACTCAAGGTAATTAAAAGATTAGCATTCTGGAATTCTAATCTTTTGATCTTCACTCAGTGAATTTTAGCAGTCACGGTTCACCGTTCCATGTGTGAACAACATTTCGTATGAATGATAAACGGGAGTGATAGTTTTAAACACAGAAAATATAAAAAAAAATTAAAATTAATTTAGGGGAGCAATAAGGTGGCACAATAACTGGATAGCCGTTGTATATTTTTATATTTTGCGTAAGCTCAGTTTTAGATGAATTATGACCGCTGACTATTTTTGTAACCATGAAATACTGAATTAATTTAATTGAATAAATTTATAAATAATAATAGCCTTCTAAACACGAGTGTATGAACTAAAAATTGTACTATTTCAAATTAGAATCGGTAACCTTGAATATTTGAAATAGATCATTACCAATTGCAATTATATAATTTGGTCCATCCAAAGCGATCTTTATTTACATATTCAGGAATTAATGGTCTCATCAATATATTTTAAATCTCACAACTCATAAATACTTCAGCTATTTGAAAAAAAGATGTTTAAAAATTTGACAGGAAATTTAAGGTCCTTCTTGGAATGGAATCGAATAATTACGAACAAATATTCTTTTCAGGTGTGAAAAACATAAAAAAAAAATTATACATAATCGGGAATGTCCTTATTAAAATATTCTAAGTCTCACAACGTATAATACTTTAGCTATTTGACCAACGATGTTTAAAAAAAAAAGACAGAACCAATTTAATGTCAACTTTCCCTATTTTTGAATGGAGACAGACCGGAGGAATAAATTTTCAATGTGCTTTATATCTTGTACTTTTGCAAGACTTATAATTCATTCATAAACCATGTCTATACCAGAGACATATATACACATATAATTATTAGTCTGTTTTAACTGGCAAGTATACCCCTAAAGCGGACAAGCAGTTTATTCTTTAAATTTCTGTTATTTAATACCAAGAAAGAAAAAATATCCCGAAATTAATTTGATACTTTGATACTGAATATTTTTCCTGAAAAATATTCACATCCCCTTTCGGTCTGAAAATAAGATAAAAATGTGGTATACTGAACATGCAGAAGTGTGAATTAATGTCATAAAACCTTGTTATATCAGAAACCTCTATAAATGTGAAACTGTATACGTAAGACCTCATAGGACGACACCTAACCACATGCAGGTAATATACAAGTAGCTCTGTTATATCCGGAAATGTCATGGTTAATCACTACCGATACAGAATGTACCAATGCAAAGAAAATTCTGATGATTGTGAAGAATGACAATTCACGATTTTAGAGGAGTCTTACATGGTGGATTGCCGGAACGATTTAAATTTTCACTAGATATTTTCTCAATTTAAATCACTGAACTAAAAACCTACGTCAAAGAACATAATTCGTCTTGTAAATTCTTATAAATAAAACGCTCTTATTTTGTAACTTTCGATAGACTTGACCTCCAACACGCCCCCCCCCCCCCCCCCCCCCCCCCCCCCCAAAAAAAAACAACAACCTGGGAACCATTAGACAAGTATATCTAACAATGTTAATGTTCCTGCATGCCCAAATCATGCCCAAATCAAAAAAAAAAAGAGGAAAAAAAAAAGCAAGAGATGAACGGTTAGTCACATCAGATTTAGATATTTATAAATTGATGTTGTTAACTAGAGATGCATAGTGACATGTCTCTGCGTTAACTGATAAGAATAACAGGAAAGTATAAACTTGAAAAAAATAGATTGATGATGAATAATATGCGGCACCCCTTTTTATCAAAGCGTACCGTCATTCATGTATTATAATGACTGTCCGTTATTTCTATTAAGAATGGCAATTGTACGTGAAATCCTATAGATAGTGAGACTTTTTTTTAACAGATATGCGACTTTTCGTATTTATATTTTTTCTCATGTTACTCTTATTTAATATTTTATGCATAAGTGCAATATTGGGAATGGCTTATTCACCAACAATCTAACGTAATAAATTAATCAACCCTCTAGCTGATCAGACGTTAATACGATATTCGTTAATACATTTTTGTACAACTACTATCAGTCTATCCGAAGTGAAGTTTCTTTATTTCTTCAAATAGACTTTTTGGGGATCATTAGTGCACGTCCAGTGGCATATATATTACATGCATGTCGGAACAGGAAATTTGGCATAAGGTACTTTCAGAACCATGTTCACATTATTATACATTATACCCAACAATTGCGATGATGACGAATTTCTTCAACTGTTCGAGAACAATCTAATTGATTCTTCTTCTTCTTCTTTTGGTATACAATATTCCATCGACATCCGATGATTACATACTGTTCGCATACGTGGACTATTTACAAATTTTTTACCCCAATTTAAACAAAATGTATGTTTTTTTCTTATATTCAATATACATGTATATATTTTAAATTGCGACTATCTATAGTTCCGTAACTTTCTATCCAGGCGTATAAACCAATGATCGACAAGTGCGTACATTTTTGTTAAATCAATATTTCTTGTATGTTTCAAAATGTCCTTCATTATTGACAACGAGTATATACTTACATTTTCCCCAATTTACCCTTGGAAAAAATATGTAAATAGATTTTTATTTTATCAAATCTTTTTTTGGAATTATTTAGATTTTCATAAATAATATTCTTTACACCAGAAATGTTATTTATAAATAAACGTATGAGTTTAGTAATGACTAGTATATCACTATCGGACACACAAGACAGAGATGTATATTATACACCTGATAGTTCAAGATGGAAAGTTACAAGTTATCGGCCGTGTACACTGATCAATACCCTCAGAAGTGAAATGATGCATGAACTTGCAAGACCGACAGGAAATCGCTTGAATACCTGGACGTGTCACCTCACAATACCTTTGGGAGTAAT